ACCCCAAGAGCCTGGATAGTACGTGCACGCGTCCACGCACCCACCCAACGCACTCGGGATGTGCCGGGTGTAGAGGGGGAATCTGTGGAAGTTGAAGCCCCCACATCGTCAAGCTGCCAAAGTTGAGAAGCACTGCTATAGAGTGAGTCAGGCATATTATTGCCATATTGCATATGAGAGTCTGAAGCTACCTAGTGAGCTCAGAGGGCAGAAAAGATTTCCTTCTTCCTAACCTAAATTATCTCTCAAAGTAACATCATGGATTCTACTAGGTACTGCAAAGAGGAAGATCATATGTGTGCTTGGGTTACCCAAGTGCAATGAATAAGTATAGAAATTCTTGTCTCTTTGGAGACCAACAAGAGTACTCTTCATTTAAGACTCTGCTCTGTAAGTCTACCTGTTTTAATTTTAATTTCACATCTTCAAGGCCACCAATCTGATCCCATGAGACAGGCTTGAAGTCTGTTAATCCAATTCCGCTTCGGAAAGAGGTTGGCTGAATCTTTTTCAGGGCCTCATGGAAGTCTGACATCTCAACGGGGCAAACTGAATCCTGAAGAGAAATACACACCAGAGTAGAAAAGTGGGATTCACTTTTTGCGACAAAATGAAGTTACTCACCTGTTAACTCTAGAATGATAATCTGGGTAATCATATGATTACATCTACTCTGCTACTGTGGAAAAATGGCTTGTGACAAATAGCTTGTGACAACATAAATATAGAGGCCACCTTGCTAAAATAATTGGGCAAGCTTCTTCTGATAACTGTAATTTAACACAATGTAGTGGGGAAGGGAAAGGATGGTGGAGTTAAAAAGGAAGGGAACCAGATAGGATCCTTTATGGAAAAAGGCACAATTGGCTGGTTTCCTACAATATGCTATGCCATAAAACATGGTTTACAACCACCACAACAGGATTCACCCATTATGCTAAACCAAAACCAAATAAACCACTTTATGGCTTTATGCAATGTATGAAGACATCCTCAGCGTAAATAGTTGGGATTGGCCCACAGAGCATCAATAGAAGTAACAAAGGGAACATCAGGCGTAGGGATTCCTGTAGATGAGACCAGCTGTGTTGGCCAGAGTTTAGAGACTGAATCCAACACATCTGGATATCACCAGTGAGGAAGACCAAGTTAATTCACAACAGAACAACCCTGGTAGAAAAGAAAACACACCACATGAAGAAATCTGAAAGAGCTTCTTACTGTGCAATTACGAAATAGGGCTTGCATTGCAGCCTCTCTGCAGAGTGATGTAAGGTCAGCCCCAACAAAACCAGTTGTTATTTCTGCCAGTTCCAGCAAATTCACATTGTCCGACACAGGCATGCCAGCAGTAATCAGCTGCAGAATAGACCTCCTTTGCTTAAGGGTTGGGCTCCCAATGATAATCTAAAGCAAGGATGGAAAACATGGCCATGTTGTTATTTCCAGCACTCACAAGTGCTAGCTTAACCCAGGGCAAGGCAGAGCTTAATCTGAGCGCGATCTCACAAAGGCACATGAGGGTGAAGTCAAAAACGCCTGTACTAAAAACAAGGGCCAGTGTGCCTTGAGTTCATTACAGAAACTAATCACTGCAATTACTTTCGTATGACTATGGTACATATTCTGCTTTAAGATGGAATATCAAGTAATGAATTCATTCAGATGCCCCCCCAGCACACACAATCAACAGCACCGCTCTAATGCATTCGATGCTTTAAGTGCTCTTAAGAGGGAACATGCAGTGAAAAATAGTTTTAAGCCATTATTTTCATGATCCACACACAAATTTATGCACACCCCATCTTTGATTCCATCTATAACACTGTAATACACAAAATATCTGGTCTTGTTCGCCTATCAAAGAGCATTATGTTCGGGAGGGCAAGGACTTTAAAGGCGTATTGTCTTATAAAAGGCTTGGTTCTAAAGCATTAACCTCCCAAGGTTCTGTACAAATTTGATATTGGATATGCCAGTTCAAGTCATACCAGGCTAGATAGGCTGTTGATCTGTCTGACCTAGAAGACCATTTTTTATGCCAGAGACATACACTGCAACTATAATTCAGGTCTAAATGACCTGAAAAACTTAAATCAGCTTCAAGCTTGTGATAGTAGAGAAAATATACAGCTCAGGACTGGCAATGTTGGGATGTTACCTCCTATGGTGATGAAATGTTTGCCACCCCAAAGCTTAGTTCAGAGAACTAACTCTAACAGCACCTCAGTTTCAACCTTGTTTAGCCAAAGAGTTCCATGAACCATGTTTCTGAGAATAAACCTAGTCAGCAGGAATTCTCTTGCACGAATTACTTTTCCGTGAAGTCAACAGCCAAGCAGCCCTGACCTACAATTAAGCAAAATGGGGCAATAGCCTCGGGGGCAGAGGCTGGGAGGTGGCCGGAAGCATTGGAGGAAAGAGAGACCTAGTGCCCCATCTGCACCCCTAAGCTGCCTGTTGCCTTCTGAAGAAGCAGAGGATGCTTGTCCATCAGACCATACCCAAGAAAGAGTCAGCGGCTAGTGGAGAAAGTTTTGCACATGGAATAGGAAGGGGGCACCAACTTGGCCTTTGACTCAAAACAGCAAAATGACTTGGGCCAGCTCTAAAGCCATGGCATTGCATTTATCCACAGCGCATAGCTCATGGCTTTTTCTAACCATTTCCTCCCACAAAACACGAAGCACCAACCAGTTGCCAGAAAGACTTGAAGAAACAACTGCCAATTACCTCCTGGTCAAATCTGCCTGGTCTCCTCAATGCAGGGTCCAGGGAATCTGGCCTGTTTGTGGCCCCTACAATGACCAGGCCATGTCCTTGACCAAATCCATCTATAAGAGTTAGCAACTGAGCCACCAGACGATGCTCAGGGGCATGACCCGTAGCTCCCCGCCTGGGGCACAATGAATCGATCTCATCAATAAAAAGGACTGTGGGCCCTTCGCTGGAGAGTTCTCTCGCTTGCTCGAAGACTTGTCGCAAGTTCTCCTCGCTTTCACCAGGCCGTGAACCATAGACCACAGGGCCACTGAGGCTTACCAGGCAGGCCCCAACTTGCCCAGTCACTGCTTTTACCAGCAGCGTCTTGCCAACTCCCGGCGGTCCCACCAAAAGAACTCCCTTTGGGACCGAAAAGCCTAATTTTTTAAAGGTGTTCGGAAAACGCAAAGGCAACTCAATCATTTCTTTTAAAGCATTGCTGACTTCGTCCAAGCCGGCCACCTGGATTTTTGAACCGTCCCCCATCAGGCGTTTATATCTGTCCAATGTGATTGTCTCTTTAATGTTCACGTTGGTTTGGGGGGTGATCAAGCCAGCTTCTTCTGTGGCGGATGGCTCCATGGACAGTATTTCGACGCACGCCACGGGATTGCCCAGAATTGGGGGGAAAGTCACAATGTGTTGGCGTGCAACACAGGCCTTTCTCAAAAGCTCTCGCACCACTTCCTGCAGCACCGTTTCAGGAAGCACTTTTTTTGAGGCGTGGTTTTTAAAGATGACTCGGACCGTCACGTGTCTTAGCTTGGGGCAGGCCACCACTCTCAAATGGTCCATGGTCACGGTCTGCTTTCGTAGCTGGCTTCCCCTTAAACCCCAAGTTCTGCATTTGAGGTCGAGCTGCAGGTAGCCATCAGCCAAATCATGCCTTGGCCAGGCATTGCACAGGCAACAGCCGCTGGGCAAGGTGATCTTGATCAGAGAGTCCAGCTTAGCATCCAGGGAGGCGAATGCAGCAGGCCCAAGCCTGCACCTTTGGGTGCCCTCATCTTCTGGATCCGGTGGGAGCAGCTTCAATAAAGCCATCTCCTGAGACAGGCATGAATCGGGCAGCAGAACAGGTTCCTGAATAGTTTAAAACAAAACAGTGTGAGAAGGGCATGGCAGGGCACCTGCATTTATACATCGATTAGGACAGTGTTGTCCAAACTTGGCCACTTTAAGATGAGTGGACTTCAACTCCCAGAATTCCCCAGCCAGCCATGCTGGAGTTGAAGTCCACTCATCTTAAACGTGG